ATTTCAAAGACTGAAATTTCCAATCCAAATTTGTCTTTAAGGAAGGTTAATAATGTTTCAGGAAACGAGAAATTCACATTAAAATCTCCTGCAAGGATCACAGGCCGCTCACAATAATCAATTTCTTCACCAGTAACGTCTGCCAGAGCTTCTGAACCTGCAGTGGATAGTGGCAATAAAGATGTTTCGTCATCAATAAACAGTTAGTTTGAATAATTGTTTTAAATCGTCTGCTGATTTAATAACTGCAACTCTAGCTGGTTGCTAGGCAACCAAACGACTTTTTCATGTTATTAATGTTTTGTTTTGTTTATCGGTGCGTTAAACGTTTAACGCAACCTTGTTGGAAGTCGCATTAGAAGTTTCACTTCAAAAAAAGTTGTTGTGCAAGTGATTAGTATTTATTTTGTATGAAAAAAGATAATCTTGCTTACCACTATATAAATCTTTATATTTTCCTCTGATGTCGAAACATAGTGCTCATCCAACACCTCCTTTATCTGAAAGCCTCCACACGTTTTCTTATAAGTAGTCCGATCAGACCACCATGAAGGTAAACTAACTTACGAAAGAGCCATTTAATATAATATCTATTAAAAATAAGAAAGTGGTTGCAAATATATGTCTAAAATTTTTTTAAATTTATGAATATAATTGGTTTGTCTTATTTACTTGCCTGCCACCAAAGATTCAACTATGTGTGCTAACTTTCTCTCGATTACTTTTAATATAGATTTTGGTTTCATGCTCACCACTGTTTCTTTTTTTAAATAGTCTGCGCAGACTACTTATAAAAGACAGTGTATAGACTTTCTGATGGCTCGTCACGTATGCCTCACCCATATCATGGGTGATTACAAGAACATCTCATAAATACAATTTCGATATCTGCTAAGCGCCACGAGAGACAGGATCAATCAAAACGCAAAGACATAAAAGTAAACAAACTCAGTCACTGCATTGAAAATTGTATGCATCATTTTACAGCAAAGCCATTCACTGCTAACTTCAACGTCTTATTTAGACAAGAACTTATTGCCTCTACAGCCAATTATAATCCACACACACACAGTCACTTCTTTGTTTCTATTCCTTAGTGCCATCTACAAGCACTAAAGACGACAACACGACACGAGCGACAAGGAGGTTGCTGTCAACAACCTCCTTTTCCAACTGCATACATTAGATGTTTCAATTTAGTTATTGGATATCCACCGAGAGATCGGTTGGTGCTGTTTTCGACCAACGCCTCCTATAACTGAAAGCCTCCGCACGGTTTTTTTGTAGGTAGTCCGAACAGACCACTAGGAAGGTAAACCAATTAGTGAAAGAACCATTTAACATGAAATCTATTGAAAATTAGAAAGTGGTAGAAAATATATGTCTAAAAAGTTTTTTAATTTATGAATATAATTGGTTTGTTTTATTTACTTGTCAACCACAACAGATTCAGTTCTCAAATATATATGATAAATTTCTCTCAAGTACTTTTAAAATAGAATTTGGGCTCATGCGCACAAGTGGTTCGCTTTTTAAATAACCTGCGCAGACTATAAGAAACCGTGTGGAGGCTTTCTGATGTAAGAGGTGATACTTCGACTGCAGATGCCGATTTTCAGATAAAAATTAGAATAGTGTTTTTTTAAAGCAGAAGTAGTAGCTTTCGCAAGTACCGCAACATGCAGGAGCCGTGGTGGCTTAGGAGATAGAGCACTCGCCTACAACTGAGGTGACCCGGGTCCAAATCCCAGCGACGGCTGGTCGATACGAATTCCGCACCCATCTCACACCGACCAGAGTACTAAAGTAAAATATCCTTAGTGGTAGACGGATCATGGGTTAGAATTTCCCTGCAGCCAGGCTAACCGTGGGGAGTGCTCGTGTGCTTCCTCTCCATGTAACGCAACCATCATAAAGTCAAGGCAAATCTCTCCCAACTCTTGATCCATGAGTTCCTTTGTCTTCTGGATTGGGTTCAAAATTACAAGACTAAGTAGTTGAACATTAGTAGCCGTGACCCAAAAATTGGGTCACCGACAGTTATAAAATAAAATACAATGTTTTTAAAGAGTAATCAAGATAGATCAAAACGTGATAATGAAACAATTTTTTCCCTTATCCCACAGCTCCTTCCAAATCAATGCTACTCGTGAAGAAAAGCGCTTTTCTAAATCCAAATCAAATCTTTCAAGATCTTCCTCTTCATATTGCATGGCAGGTATGTACGTTATTTATCATGCTTCTTTATGGTAAAAATCTCCTTTCTTACTGTTCCTTCCGAATCTTTAAACATTTATGAATAAAATTAATACTTTTGCTTTCAGTATAAAATAGCGTTGAACATGTTAATTCTTTAAACCACAGCTAAGTAGCAAAATTCTTTATTTGTGGTTATCTTACTTGATTTAAAACTTCATTCACTTTAAAATTATTAGAATCGGAAATAATAGCCGCCGACATGCTTCAAGCGCTCAATAATAGTCGCCCATTTTCAAAACTTGCCAGACGTGAATGAGGAGGAACAAAAGTTATTTAAACTATAAAACGTTCTGTTGATAACAAAAAATTAAGAAAATTAAGATGAGAAACAATAAATAGAGAAATCACAATAGCCGAGAGGGAAAAAAATTAAGAACAGAACAAGAAAAGCCACAGTAGCCGTGAGATGAATGCAACTTAACCTTGTTTAAGAACATTAATTCCTCACTTACACTACAATGCATCTTAGTAGGGAAAAAAATTTAACCACCAGTCTTGCTAATTTCCACTTTGACGGACATGCTGTATCTCCCCCTATAGCTTCGGGTTCGTTCAAAACGACATTAGTGGGGTCGGAATCATACTATTTCGGAAAGCTTTTTGGGATATTTTGGTATCCGAAGCTCCTGATGACTTTATATTTACCATTGCAAAGATTAGCCGGAATGCCATATATATGATCCACTTTCTGCATAGGTTTTTATAAATTGGTAGCGAATTGAATAGTTTACAGTTCGCTCTTTAACGGTTTCACCACGAGATAATTGCTTAGAAGTTGCATTTCATATCATGCTTTAAATTTTCAATAAGTAGTGGTGAAAAAATTACTTAAAAGGAAAAATACTAAACTAAAAATAACTTAAATTTCGTTAGCAAAGGAATTCTTTTTTTGACAAAGTGGAGCAAGCTGGTATCTTTGTATACACATACGTTGGTTATCATCGAATTTATAACCTAGTACGCGCAGTTTAGAGGATATGTTTTAAGAGACAGACCCCTGAAATTGTGACTGATAATTTTTCTGTTTTTTCCTTGACCAATTCTACGTATCAAAATAATAATTATCCGTCACTTTTAAAAAGCGTGTAGGGTTAAATATCTTTTTTTCTTGCTTCAGATAAAGTGGATACGGGAAGCGATGATGATTCAGGAACTCCTGGAGATGCGGAACCTTCATTTCCCAATACTTTCAATATGAGTACGGAAAACCTTGATAAACTCGGATTGAGAGAAAGATTCATGCTTGACAATTATGAGAACATGGACAAATCTCAGAGCGAAGACGCTGGTAGTCATCGTAGCCGATACAGTTTATCCTCAAAGTATCACACCACATCAGGACCAGTCAACAGAGATGTGAAGTAAGTACTGGATTATTTTATATACCCAAATGAAATGAATGACCCGAATGAAATGATGTGGAGGAGGGCCGTCTCAATAGTATTGGGATCCGGCCTGCTCGAAGTTTAAAAAGAACCATCGTATTCTGCAAGTGATTCAAACATTCGTACACGTATCTTTGCTCAAAAATTTTTAAATAATTTCCAAGTTATTGTTAAACCAACAATTTAAGTCGAAGTTTTGATTACTTTTAAATGATATTCATGTACGATTTCCCTTTAAAATTAGAATAAGAAAACTAATAACGATGCCAACGAAAATTTCCTGCATCTATATCAATATAATGCTAATATATATATATANTTAGTTAACTGTAAATAATATGTATATATATATATATCATACAAATAAAAGAGTTAAGGTACATTTTTTTACTTTACTTTTTTCCAGATTAAAAAAATAGTAATTTCATCCACTAGAACTAGATTCTTCAACTATGTATAACTATGTATGGAACAATGCTTCTACTATGTGCCCTAAATATTCCCGAATTAGCTTCAATCCATACATAATAAAAGAGTTTAGTAAGGTGTTTTTTTATTACTTTACCTAATACTCAGTTAGAAAAGGGTACTTTCATCCACTAGATTTTTCAACTATGTATGGAACAATACTTCTGTTTACCCTAATTATTATCATATTAGTTTTGATCTATACGTAACAAAAGAGCTTACTAAGGTTTTTTTTAAACTTTATTTTAACGGATTAAAAAATGTATCATTTATCCACTAGATTCTTCATCAATGTATGGAACAATGCTTGTATGTGTACTAAATATTATCATATTAAAGTTGATTCATAAAAAAATAGCTTAGTTAGGTATTTTTTTTACTCTTATACCTAGATTGAAAAATGTATCTTCATTGTCTAGATTATTCAACTATACATGGAACAAAGCTTCTACTATATGCCCTAAATGCTTTCTTATTATAAGTGTTGATCCATGCATAATTTAAAAGCTTTGTAAACAAATGTACTTTTTTTACTCTGAATCTATAATAAAATTTTAAAAAAAGTATATTCTCCCACAAAACTTTTTAATAATTATTGCTCTTTTTTAGTAAAAATTAACTTCAGATTTTTTTTCTCTGCAAAATGAGTAAATTGTATTAAACGTAAAATTATATAGTATATATTCTTTTAAATTGTTACTTTTTAAATTTATTTTACGTTTAAAGAAAACTTTTTCATATCAGTTCAAACCTCAGATTTTTAATTAAGTTAGTTGTTTAAGTTTTTTCTGATTATCTACTTAATATATTTAATTATCTATGCAAAGTTATATATTAATTAAAATTATGTGTCGAGTAATGCGGAACTTTTTATAGGTCTAATACTCTAGGAAGAAGAACAAATGTGGTATGTATTTTTTTTTAATTTTTAAAATTATTTGTATTTGGAAGCAAAGAAAAAAAATTGCATCATTTTATAATGTTATCCGTATTATTTGTACTTTTTTTCTTTTCCTATTCATGTAATCATTTGTATAATATTACGTAGTTTAGATTCAAAATTAACCGACAATTCTAATGTTTCAAAATTAAAATACAAAAAATATTTTTCCTAGATGTCTTCTAAAAAGAGAGAAGAACTTACAAGAGCTTTAAATGATGCCAGAAAAAAACTTGAAACTGTAAGTCTATTCATCTAAAATTATTAGCTGAAATTATTGTAACTATAACAATTTCATCTCATAACATTTTGAAATATTTAACAAATGATTACAGTTTACATCCTAAACTACAAACAAGTCGAAATTCATATTTTTTACTGTACTTTTTCTTGTCGATTGAATTTTTTCTTAAAATTACTACCTTACAACTTTTTTTTAAGTAGTCAATTTAGGTAAAAATGCATGCCTCAATAATTACTTTTAACGTAAGTATTGGTTGCCATATTTCTCGCTGTAGCGTGATTCCACGTGCATAAGATATTTTTTTCTTTGCAGGCAAAAAAAAATGATGGGGTGATTTTTGATCTCCTTTTTTAAACTAAAGGTTTAACCATAAAAAAGATTTTTAGAGACCAGAACATTGTTGTAAACAATCCAATTTTCGTTCTCGAGGACTATGCTTCCCAATTCCAAAGGGGATGATGCGTCTCCAAAACGGATAACTCACTTGACGTTTAAGAAACAAATCACAGGCGTCAACACGTTGGCACAAATTTCTTTCCGAAAGAACATGAGGAACCCATTTATCGAACTTTGACATTAAGTCTTAGGCTTTTATAATGATCATAAGCCTTATGTTTTTATAATGATCATAAGTCTTAGGCTTTTATACTGATCATAAGTCTTAGGCTTTTATAATGAGCCGCGTTGGCTGAGGGCTTTCGTCTCTCAATGCTTGAGCCGGGTTCGAATCCCAGCAATGGCCGGTTTTTCCCGAATTTCGCACCGACCACGGTGCTGACGTAAACGTATTTGATACAACTCGATATTGGTACCACTGATTTGTTTATAAAAGTTTATATTTCAGAAAATCCTTAACTCTTATTCATACCTGCCAACTTTTAATCCTTTCTAAGATGATTTTCCCCAGTGGTAGTAATATGGAATTTAAATGACAATTTTAGGCATATGTATACGCTGTAACTTAGTATATCTTCAGTGAACTAAGTATTGCAAATTTTACTATATATTCTAAAGTTTTTTAAAAATAGTGGTGGTCATAAAGATTATAAATTAAGCTTATAAATGCAAAGAATGTATAGTAGGCATACATTTTACTACCACTTTAAATATAGAAATAACATTATACGCCAAATGCGTAAAAGTAGGCAGGTATACATATAGCTTTTTAACAGTGCTAAAAATAGAAAAAAAAAGTTTTTGGACAAATTTAGTGTAATGTATTCCATTAAAAATTGTATTATCATTCATTGCTCGTCAATTATTTATTAAATAATTTTTATCTCCAAAAAAAATATAGCTTGGTTTCAAAGGCGGTTTGAGTTCGAGCAAAAGTGTTGGCGACTTAAGCAATGCTGGAGATCCAGTTGACATCTTTGAAAAGCCAAGAATTCAAGCACAGAGTAAGAATTAAAAAAATTTTAAAATAATTAAATTTTGCATTAACTTTTTGAAAAGTACTCGAACATGAATGTTTCACAGACTGAATGCTAAAAGTCAATTATTTCACTGACAGTCCCATTCAATTAAAAATTAAAAAGTGGTAGTCAATTTATGTTTAATGACAGCAAAATATGAATGCATTAGCTTTCACTAAAGTTTAAAATCAACGATAGTAGCAGTTTCAAAAATAAATATAATCACTTAAATTATCGACATCTGGTAATATCGGTTTTTATTGAAATTGTTCCCAGTTGAGTACAAAATGAAAATTTATGTTTCTTTAAAAATAGTCAATTATAATGATCATGTAGACTATTCAACATCCTGGGCCTACTTTCTAGGTTTAAACTGACCATTACTTTCTAACATTTAAATTGAGTTGTGGTGACTTAAGGGACAGGTCGCTCACCTCGAAATAAGGGGAGCCAGATTCGAATTCCAGCGATAGCTGGTTGGTACGAATTCTACTCCCAGCTCGAACTGATCACATTATTGTTGACGTAAAATATCCTCAGTGGTAGACTGATCATGGGTCAGAATTCTCTTGCCGGTGGGCTAAACATGATAAATTTTCGTGGTTTTCCTTTACGTGTAATGTAAATGTGGATTAGTTCACTCAAAAGGACCTCCACGAAGGTTAATTTCTCCCAGTGCTTGATCCAGCAGTTTCCTTGTCTTCTATGTTAGGCTCAAAATTAAAACACTACGGAATTGAACACTGATAGTTGTAAACTCAGAATTGGATTGTCTGTTTAACGCCGATTATGAAACAAATTAAAATAATATCGAAATTGAAAAAAAAATCAAAAAGATGCAGTTTATCAAAAAGCATTACCGTTATTTTTTCTTTTGCAGGTAACTTAGTAGACATGAGAAGAAGTACGTCATTTGGTGATATTAGATCTGGTGGCCTACCTAGGCGGCGCCTACCATACACTCCACAGCCCGGTAACACAAAATTTGATTTTTGACTTCAATGCCGTTTTTTAGAATTATGTATATGAAAGGGTTTCAGGCGATATAATGATAAGCCACATTTTCAATCGTTTAAATCGTTTGTAAGCATACAAAGGAATTGAGCAATTCAAAGTCATATATCCCCCAAAGATCATACACCAAACTGTTATATAGTACTATTTCTAGATATAGAAGCTAAAAGTTTTAGAATTTCCTCATATAAGAGTACAATACAGAGCAAAATCTTTTTGCTGACATGAAAAAAGTAATGATTATATTAAATAAGTTACTCAATGAAATCAACCAACTTAATTAGTTTGACCGAATGATTTTAGAGTAAACTGGTCATCTCTTTCTCAGACTATTGATTTTTTTCAGTAAATATTAGTAAGCTTAACACCACCCTGGAAAAACTTAGAAACTGGCAGTGAAGTTTATATTAAAGTATTTGATAACTTGCCATTTTACTTTTTCAGGATTATATTGAGATATTTTACGGCAGAAATCTCTGAATTTAATTTAAATTAAATCTCTGAATTAGACCAATTATATTGATTTTCCTAGGATATTGGTAAAGCTAAATAAAAGACCGCACATTGTGCACACCTTTTGGGATTCATCAGAGATGCATCAAGCAAAAATAATTTTAAAAAAACGGTAAATAACTACAAACAAAAATTTGCAAATATTTGACTAATTTTGTTAACTTTTTAACACTAGGTTTACGGGACACGTCATTTTGACGGATTTCGACTTTTGTAAGGAAAATTATAAAACCCGTTTGAATTTTTATTTTATCTCTTGTAATGACTTTTAACCATTGATCGAAGTAAATATATATTATTTACCTCAAAAGCGTTGAAATATTGAAATTCTCTATGTGGTATACCTATTTCTTCGGATATGCGTCAATTTGACGCGATCATAATTTAAACAAAAGTTTAAGTAAACAAGCAATTATCACATCAATAATAAATAGGAGTGTACCGTACAATACTTCGATTCGTTATCTCAAATAAAACAAGCGATAAACAACTGTTGCAGATAAGCAATAATAGAAAGAGCAAACGCAGAGTGTCAATTGATGTCAGAGTGTCAGATTTTGAAGGTTTCAGTTGCTTAGTTCGAGTATTGAAACATAAAATACTAGAATATTTCATAATCTCATATCTTCATTTTTTTTTTCTTATAGTATACATATACATTGGTTTCTAAGTGCAGCGATGCCAACTGCTCCGGAGACGCGAAAATAATTAATAAAATGGTAAATAACAACAAAGTAAATTTTGCAAATGAAGTGGTGAATTATATACGCCTACGAATTATTTAGAAATAGTGGTGGATAAAAATCTACTAAATTGAATTTATTAAATTAAGAATCACAATTCTTTCATTCGTCAAATTGACGTGTGTCCGTAGAGACAGGTATATAAGAAACGTCCGTAAACATAGCTTTAAAAAGGTTTAACATGACTTAAATTTGCTGGGTATCTTTTTTTTATCTCGGCTTTTGGTGTGAAGCGCCACTGACCGATTTGTCTGCACTAGTATGAGTAAAAAGTCATCGCTCTAATTTAATAAAGTGGTGAATATATAAACTTACGAATTGTTTAGAAATAGTGGTGAATAAAAATCTAATAAATTGAATTTATCAAACCAAGAATCAGAATTAATAAGCTACCACTAGAAAATATTTATTCGCTGTCCGGAGCAAGTTGGCATCTCTGGATTCATTGTAAAAATGTAAATTAAGGGCTCTGTTTGCAGAACACACTGCATAATGAAATAAATATTCTGAACTTGTTGTATTGGGATTGAGCTGGGGTCCAATGAATGTGAATTAGTTTGAAAATAGATATAATATTATGTAACACGAAATTAGATTTTGACCCAAAATTGTGCACTTTGAAACTAAATTCCAATTTCTAGCTAATTTTCCTTTGCAAATTTTTAAGTTTTCTAGTTTTTACATATTATAAACATTAAACCATAGTTGCAGTTGACATACAAATGATTTTTAATTAATTGTTAAAAACAGATAGCAAAGATTTAGGTCAGTGTTAGAGTTAAAATGTATTTTTGCCTTTACTTAACTTAAATTTCAGTTTTTAAATGCCAGACAGAAACTTTACATCCAAATATGTTTCGTAAAATCGTCAGATTATTTTCTAACTGTTACGAATACTATATGTTCTCAACCTTTCTGTTAGTTTTTTAAACGAAGGACATTTTAATGTTTATGGTGAGTATTTAGTTAAGGGAAAGCTTTAAAAAAGTGAATTCCTTAGAACTAAGTATAGTTTCATTATTGATTAAAAAAAGGAAGATACACTGTAGCGTATAAGAATGTTTACCTAAATGAACGACGATCAGGAAAATTAATTGAAAAAAATGAAGGAAAGTAGAAATAAACAATGCTTTGCGTTCTATTTAGGAAACTGATATTTTATTCTCCTCAAGTTTCAAAATTAAGTACGCATTCCTTGAACAGATAGCGCTGCTTTATGAAAAAGCTCTACAACAATATTTTCCTCGGCAAGTCATCCATTCAAACTGAAATATTTGAAAGAGCGTCTGTTAATTTTGTCCTCAGATTGCAAAACTTCTTTGCTACATATGGTGGTTATTTTAAAAGCATTGTTTTATGATTTTTTCATTTAGTAGCTCCTTCGGTACATGTTCTTCATTGTTACTAAATCAGAAACTTGGTTTAACAAAATTCCTAGCTTACTAAACAGACAGCAGCAAACCATACATTTCGACCGTACATATCTCTTTCAGTTTTTTATGACTATTATTATTAGATTAATTTCTATAGAATTTATTTCTTATTTGGAGAATTGATGATTTTATACTTTTAGTTTTTCTTTACAAGGAATTTCATAATTACGGTAAATAGGAAAATGATTGTAAAGAAACTACCGAACCTAGCATACGAAACAGACAGCAGCAAACCATACATTTCTACCATATTTATCTCTCTCTCTCTCTCTGTTTTAATTGTTATTATAATATTGATTTTTATAATTACCGGCCTTATTTCAGAGAACCGTTAATTTATACTTCTAGTTTTTCTTTACAAAAAATTTCAAAACTATGTTAATTTAGTTATATTTGCTGTCTGAGTTTAGTTATGTTTGCTGACATAAATTTAGCACATTTAAACTTCATTATTTTCTCTTTTACAGGAGGCCAAAGTGCTCCATTATGGGAGCAAGCCAAAACAATTCGATTCGAAGATGAATCACCCCCTACCGATTCAACGCCAAAACCTAAAACTTCACTATCCACTTCAAATCTTAAATTAAGTGCCAGTTCAACGAACATAAACTCGCCAAATTTAACTTCCCCTCCACAAAGAACTCAACCCGCTGGAATCCTCTCCACGCGGGACATACCACCAGAGTCCAGCCAAATGTTGCCATTAAATAAATCAATGTCTAGTTTAAATCTGAGTATGATGTCTTCGGGCCGGGAAAAAACAACCGGCACCAGAAGGTTGTCATTAGTTGGAATGAACAGACGTTCGAACTATTCAGATTCATCATCATCCGAAGCTTCGCCAACAGACACTAAATCAAACACTTTGGTGCCACGTGGTATTGTAGCTAGGCGAATGAAAGCCTTCTGTGCTGAACAGACTGGACGATCGCAAATTGTTGACAGTGCCAGGAAACAAAAATCCAAAGGGGAAAGAGAGCCATCTAAATCAAAAAGTGAATGGGATCTGCGAAAACTTAACGATGAGCCACTGTCACCAAAATATAGTGATCATAATCAAGACATTATATCATCGCCAACCATAAAGAAAACTCCATTGAAATTTGGAAAAGAACAAAATAAGCCTGACTATGATCAACTAGAAGTTAGCCCAAACGACCTGCCTGTAAAAGATGGAAACCCATCTGTTGCCAGCAACTATTTAGATCTCAACTCAACACCACGTAAGTTAATTAGTTGTTAATCTTAAGGTAATTATTAAAGTGAAACCTCCAGGAAATACCACCTCTGTGTAGCAACGAGCTCGATTTACGACCACTTTTTGGGAGGCATGGAATTTTTTCCATAGACTTTATGTTGAAGAAAACCTTTAGGAGAAACCAACAGAACTTTTCCCAGCCACCGGACAAACATCTGCATTAAATGCGAAAAAAGTCAAATAAGAAAACACGAAAAAATATCAAAACAAAAAATTTAACCAAACAAATAGGTAGATTAAATTGCATTCAACATATTTGCTTGAGGCTCTTATTTTAGAGAACTCTTTTTGATGATACAACCTCACGTTACAGTCAGAATGCACTAAAGACGGTGCTATCAATGATTTACTTTTAGAGTTGAAAGTCAAATTAGAAAAAAAAAATATTTTATAAAAAACAAACATCTCAAACAAACCACTTCTCATCTTTTAAAGCAAACTAACTTTTATGATATGAAATTAAATACAAACTTAAAACACATAATTGTTTATTTATTTAAAACAGCTTTATCATTCATAATTGGTAAATTTGTTTTTACACATATAATTATGTAAGTTGGAATCATTTTTATTGAAGCTGAATTTTATTCATCGATATGCTAACAGAAGTGACATTTCCGCACTGAGAAAATGGCACTGACTAAAATTAAAATCCTTTACGAAACATTATGTACCTTCGATGTCAATTTTTAACTCAATGGAGGTAACCTCTGAGAACAACCATTGGAACGGAGAGTGGTCACTTCCGAAAGGTTTCACTGTATAATATAATCCAATGTTTAAAATCTATACACAATCAAAAATCTATAATACTATCCTTTATACATTAAATCATCCTGTGGTGTGACTCTGTTGCTTTAGTAATATAACTGTCGAACTTGAGTGTCTACTTCCATCATATAGGAAATTATTACACTTTCTGATCAAAAGCATATATTTCGTCAAACGGTACTATGGTAATATAATTTTTGCCTCTAACCAATACCTCCTGGAAAAAACAAGGCCTGCATGCAGATCAATTTAGTAGTCAGATGTAACGAGCATAAACTGATAAACAGGGAAAATATATGAAAGATGTCATATCATCCGGACTACTAAACTGCGCCGTGAGGGCAAAATACAAAATAAGTCACTACGTTCAGACTACTAAAGAATCGGATTACTAAAGGATTATGGTCGGGTTACCAAAGGATCAGAATACTAAAGGATTGTGGTAACCGACCCAGAGGCTTTCTTTCTTCTAATAATTGTAACTCTAACCCGAAAGTGAATTAATTCCAATTCGACAAGTGTAAGCACTCTGAGCTCAGTCATCACCTCCTACATTTGAAAGCCTCCACACGGATTAATATATAAGTAGTCTACGCAGACTATTTATAGAGTAAACCGGTTGTGCGCATGAACCCAAATTCTATTTTAAAAGTCCTAGTCCTAGTGTTTTGATTTTATTGGGCACCTGGGCAGCGAAGCTGCCCCTATCCCATTCATCTGGAATTCTAACACTGTTTTGGTTAAGCATTGAGGTAAGCATGCAGTGGAGTTGCTTTTATGAATGTTTCAAGCACTTTGCTTGAATAACTAAAAAGGAATAAAAAAATAAAATGAGTAGCTTGCTCTAAACTGTGTTTGTTTGATTTTGCAGTTGTTCAGAATTGTATCAGCATGAGGAAACGTTATTTTCAGAAAGGTTGATGAAATTCTTTGTTTTGATATGAGGCGTCGGAGGTGAAATGTGCAGCTGTTGGTTTGTAGGTTTTATCTTTGATATAATTTTCAAATTTAAGGATTTCATTAAAATTTGCTGTTTTACATTCTATGGCTTTATCGAAAAAATCTGCGTTTAGCTTGTATATATGCTGTGATAGAGTTGGTATTTTGAGGTCTGCATGTATATTGGTATTCCGGATGAACCATCTTGCACAGGTTATTTTTCTAAGGATCTTGTTTTGGCATTGGTTTAATTTCTTCAGTAGNTGTTTACATTTTCAATAGGAATTTCATTAACACCAAATTTATTTTGAAGAACAGCAATAATAATTTTAATATGATTAAATTCAACATATTCAGGACACAACTGCTTGATAGGAGTAAGTCTGCTTACATCTGAAAAGAAGAACAACTGTCATAAATGGTAAAATACACACTTTTTGAGTAAGAATATATATATATATATAAATGGTTAAAGTAATAACTATCTAGTTTTTAATGTTCCCTTTTTATGTTTTTAGTGACAAAAGAACTTTGTGAAAAAGTATCAGATGATTTGAAAAAAGTAACATCGTTCGCTGTACAGCTATTTCAGAGGGTAAGTAAATATTATAAATCAGTAATTTTAACACTTTTGCTGCTGATTCTAGTGAGAGGACGAGTTTCTACTTTAGTGACACTGTCACTCGCAAGTGTGATTTATTATAATATGTCGAATGAAATGTTTAATCATGTACTGCCCAAAATTACTCAAAATGACTGCATTGTGTAAGAATAACTAATGTATAAAGAAATTTGTTCAATTAATTTTTAATATTTTTATATTATTTGCAGTTATATAACAAGTTATTAGTAAATATTGACAGTAAAAAAAATTACTTTTCACTTTGAAAAAAAATTTATACATTATTATTTGTATTTTTTTGCAAATGAAAAAGCAGTTAAAAAGCAGTCAAAATTACTTAATTGGGCAGTCAAGTGTTAAATTTGAGTGTTCAACATAGAGTAAGAAAGTAGTCAGAATTCGACTTGACAGTGAATCCCTTTTGTTGATAATATCGCCATTCATTTTGCTTGTAGCGATTAGAGAAAAATCAAAACTCGCTTTATCATCAGGCGCAAAGCTGCTGTATACCGATTTGAACGCTTTAGCTCAGGGGTTTCCAACTTATATGAGGCCGGGGGGCACTATTAAAAACACCAGTCAAATGGCGGGCTGCAAGTTAGCCAAAATTTTACGTAGGACTCTTTTATGTTTGAGGGAACATTAAATATTACTGTCAGACTTTTATCAGGTTGTTCAAAACAAAAGTATTGAATTACAAATAATAATAAATATTTTCTTGAATACAAAACCTGAGAAATAAATTTTTTTGCACCGTTTTTATGTTAAATTTCACAGAAACGAAGAATTGAGTTGTGTTTTTTTAACGAAAGAAAGGTATTTTAAACCCATGTAGACTTTTTACGAAAATTCTCAGCAAAAAAATGGCAACTAATGTATTTTAGTTCCGCGGGTCACAAAAAAAGGCTTCGTTGGCCGCTAGTTGGTAACCACTGCTTCAGCTATTTGAAAAAATCGGTAAGATTTTGTTTGCTCTCTAATCTCACACTCACACACGAGAGGGAGTTAATTAAAACGTAGTAAGAATTTATAAATGTATATTTATTTTAACTTATTGTGATTTGTTGGTCATTCGCAGAAGCTAAAGAGAAAAAAATAGAAGATGTCTGATTGAAGCAGATGATCAAAACAGGATCATAAACAAAACAAAAATGTTATTTCGTTGCACACTAAGTGCAAAACAAACAAAATATTGTTATCCAAATGACATTTCAAGTAAAATAATACATTTTGTATAATATTTAAAAGAATGAAAGGACAAGTCGTGGAAAATTAATTCCCCACAAATTGCCCAATCAAAAGCAGTATTTAATCAACGCTTTTCGGAGTACTGGCGCGTTATTGAAAAATGACTCTGAAAAAAATAAAGCTAATTCAGCCACGTTACGATATATCATGTACATATTTGAATAATTTGACTGTAGATTTAAGGCCAACAAGTTCGTTGGAAATTAAAGTAAATCTTATTACGCATATGCATAGCTGCCAACTCTTTCGGTTTTCCCGGAGGATTTTAATTTTGTATTTAAAGTGGTACCGAAACTCATGTCATGCTATTAAAATTTTTGAATTATAATTATAATTATAAATGAGTTTGACCGCCACTACATATAAATAATTACAACAAATATATAAAAGCATACTAATCTCTACAACAGCGATTTTAAACCTAGTCAAAATATAAATATATTTTTGAGTAAGATTATCTTTCAGTAATTGTTTTACTACCACTTGGAAAGTTCATTCTCAGAAAGAATGAAAGTTGGCAGGTATGCTAATGTTTATTGTGGTTGAAGAATGTAAGATTAAAAACAGATTTTGATGCTCAGTTGTGGTGGCATTGAGTAGTAATTAGTTATAACACCTTCTGCGAAATAAAAAGTTAGCCTTTTCACCTATTGAAAATTAGAAATATTTGCCTTCGCTTTTTATAAAATTAAATTAATGATTTATTCATTTAAAAAGTGATTAGGAATGATTAACAATGACTTAATTTATGAATTAGGGAAACTTGAAACATGAAAAAGCTATACTCTGTTGCAAGTTTAGAAAAAACCATTATCCTTATAGAGAAATCCTGTTTGCTTCTAAATGCATGCCAAATGGATTAAAAAATCCCAGCGTTTAGGTATATCAGCATCGGCAACTCTTAAAACGAAGCTGCACAGTATTTTTTTTTTTTTTTTTTTTTTTTTTTTTTTTTTTTTTTTGCTTGTTTGCTTTTTTAAATCGTGTGAAATGACGAAAACAAAACTTATTGAATAATCAATTAACAAGTAATAAGAAGTAAAAAAATGATATCTAACTTCGTAACAAATAACTTTTCTGTTCGCATCTAAAAAAAGAAATGAAAGAATAATAAGCATTTTTCTTGCNAGATTTATGATGGAAAAAATATGATTTTTTGCGTTTTCTTCAGTATATTCTTCGTCTAAAATCTTATTAAAGAAACTTAGCTACCTTCTTGATACCTTTTAAATAGCCAATATAAAGATCAGTGTCGACTTATTACAATTAAAAGCCTTACAACATATTTATATATGCGACGTCTTCCTAATGGCACTTGATTATCCAGATCCAGCGAATTTGAGAGTTAAAAACCAAATGCTGACACATATAAGTTAATGTCCTAGCCATTCCTTCGACATTAAAAGTCTACCCATAAATGTATATATGCGACGTTCTACCTGTATGTCTTCCTAATGGCTTTTGATTAGCCAAATCTTTGAGACTGACGGTTAAAAACTAAATGCTGACACATATTAGTTAATCGGTTAACGCCCAGCGTCATATATTTAGGACAGTTCCTTTTTTCAAAAACATTAATTGTGGTGGGAAACTTTTTCCATCATTTTCATTTATCTGGGTGAATTAAAAGATTCTCAGATACCACAATGATTTAGTTATTTCTGATTAGATCTAGAATTATAAGGAGCAAGTACTTTTAGATCTATCAAAGACTTTTTGAATGCCCTAACAGTAGAAAAAACAATTAATTTCGAAAATATATTATACCACTTTTTCCATAAAACCACTTTTTGTATCATTTCAATATATAAATTCGGGACAAAACGGGTTAATTAACGACTGCTTTCAAAATCTACTCAATAATGTTAGTCGAATATTTCAGTTTCATATTCTCAACATTTTTAAATAATTATATTTGCATAAAAAATGCACGATTTTTATAAACTTAATGTGATCTAAAAAATAATTTTAAGCAAACCTCAAAGTAAATTGCGCATCGTTTCATTGGCGTATTCTTCTCATCTCTGCAAAAACATGAATCCGAGAAAAAGATTACAGTTCCAAAATATTTACAGTTCAAAAAATAATATCCAATATCCAAATCAACGAATTTTTTCCCCGTTAAACAATGTTGATACCGAAGTTAACTCATGCACTTAGTTCTGTTCTTTTCTTAATTTTAGCTGCATATATTGAATTGATGATTTTATGTTTAGAACAATTCATGCATATTTATATCTATTTGGGGGAAAAAATCATTTACTAAGTAGTCGTACAAAAATTAAAGTTAAAAAATACTTAATTTTTTAAAGGCTATGTTTCCAATTGCTTCAAATAAGTGAGGACTTGCTATATAAAGAATTGTTCAAACATGAATCTGAAGGGGAAGGAAATTTTTTCCAGATCCCTTTATACACGGTACTGCTCTGCAACCGACTGCAGGACTTTCGATTTCACACAGCTTTTACGAGCACGTATATCGTATGTACACGGTGGGTCTTAGCGGCGTCGAGGATCGAAGTCCGATAATAGATCTCAAGAGTCGTGGCAGCCTAGTGATGACTGGGCTATTACGACCCTAAGGATCTATTTAAAACATAGATAAAGTGCCAAATATCTTTTCAATTTTTGATAGCTTTTATTTCCGTTCATTTTGTTGTTAAATTATAACCTTTCTTCCAGTTATTTTTATTATTAATCGCGTTAAAAAGATTGCTAAAAAAATAATAAATAAACGAGGATTATTACATTTCTCAACACTTCTTAGTACCATGTACCAATAATTAAAGTTGGCATTTTCGAGACAATTCCCAATTTAATGAAAATTGGATATGGAATAATACAAGGATCGAAATTTGATTTAACAACAACCATTAGTTCCAAACACAACCACTAAATTGTATTTTATTACACTTTGGCCTTTTAGGTTCCCAGAAATGAATCCTTGAAATTTTTATCTGTAAGGACACCTTACAAACTTCGCTTGCTGTGATTCCATTACGTATGTCTCCGAACTTAACGATAGTAAGTCACGCCATGCGTGTGCATAACTCTTCGCGTAAAGGAGCTACTTTCTACAATTGAACATGAAATATGACGTTTTCAGATGGTAGCAGACAACGTTAGATAGCGGACAACATATTGAGTCTGTTTTGTAAACATGTTAAATTTTTCATGATATAGATTATTTTATGTACGTGTTCCCTATAAAGCTACATAATGATAGTTTTTAGAGTGATTTTTATTTATCCTGCTGGAAAAAACTTCTATCATTTCATTATGACTTTATTTAATTTTCATGAAATTCTGCTGCATAATTTCAATATAGAATAATCTTGAATGCCAACTTTAATTGTAAGCATTCTAGATATACAGCACAGATGTGAGTGTTTTATTCAATTCTGCTGCATAATTTCAATATAGAATAATCTCTAATGGCTACTTTAATTATAAGCATTCTAGATATACAGCACAGATGTGAGTGTTTCATGCAATTCTTCTGCATAATTTCAATATAGAATAATCTCTAATGCCAACTTTAATTATAAACATTCTAGATATACAGCACAGATGCGGGTGCTATATGCAATCAGGAGGGCGTAATCTCGTTCTTGGCTAACAATAACACCGAAGATGAATATCTAAATTTATTTTCGTCTGTTTTATACCAAGCGAGAAAAAAAAACATTCCATTAATGCTAATTTGCTTTCAAGTTTGTGAATTTTAATTTTTAGAGCATAACATTTTGTAAATAGCATGCTTGAAAATTGTAACATACCGTGTAAATAACAGTTTCATAAAATAAAAAGTGCTTTTCAAAAATAAAAATATTGTAAAGGCTTGCATTTAATTAATTAATTTCTTATTTTTAAACACTATTAGAGGTA